TCCACTGCCGGCGTTCGATGGTTGATGCGCTTCAGTAAAAACTTTGCATCTTAAATAGATAGGAGAGGTACTCAAATCAGATTGGGCTCGCGATGTAATATGATGAAAGAGACAAGATGACCGTATATTAAACCGGTGTTGGTAAATAACGGCCCAATCCTTAAACGAAATACGAATTGTTTTAAGATACGTATGAGTTGCGGTCAGGCATTTTTTAAGGTTGTTAAAGTGGGTATATCCACTTTTTTAAATTCTGAGTGAATAAGTTTTGCTGATTTGCACGAAATGTTATCTAATGCTTTTTTTTTTCAAAGAATTACTCAAAATATACCTATTTAAGATCTTTNCAAAGAATTACTCAAAATATATCTATTTAAGATCTTTTCATCAGTTTTACCGTTGCTGTAATCAATATTACTCTCTACTATTTTATTTGAAGGAGATAATTTCAANTCAAAGAATTACTCAAAATATACCTATTTAAGATCTTTTCATCAGTTTTACCGTTGCTGTAATCAATATTACTCTCTACTATTTTATTTGAAGGAGATAATTTCAAAAATCAATGTTTTACTCAGCAAGATCATCTCTGTACATCGTATTTAACGGTTTTTCGAAAACGAAAATTGAAGTCTTCATAGATAGTAAGTGGCTTTAATTTTTCACTACAAATAAACTCCATTGTAGCTGAATTCAGACTGACAGTGTAAATGTATAATGCTACACAATAATATGAACGTTATACTATAGTGATTCAAGTATTTAAATGAACCCGGCATTTAAATGTAAATTATTTATCATTACTATAATTACAAATGCGACAATTATTCGGGACGCAACTCAACTCATGACAAAAACTCATCGGGTCGGAGAATTCACCGGTCTCCGATATCGTAAATAACACGTCGGACGCAACTCGCCCACAGTCTATCGCAAAATATACCGTATAGTATCAAATTATAGATTTTCAGTAGTATATGATACTCAGTAATATTTTATTTTAGTTAAAAGAGACCGTAAAATTTAATGATAATTTAACATTTAGTGAGATGAAACAAATAAAAAAACAAAGTTGCACGAAAAACAAATACATGAAATTCGTCGTAACATATTTTTGTATTGTCTTTTAGGAAATATAATAATTGATAACAACTCGTACTATACGTTTTACTGACAGTGTTTCAACATTTTCACATACAATATAAAATACTTAAAAAATTAAATGTTTAACATTAATGTATCGAATTATATGTTCTGTAATACATCATATACTAAAATAATGAATTTTTTATTTGATATTTTTCATCAAATAACTTGTATGAATATCTCTTCAGTACAATAAGTCAATTATTTCAAATTAATATTTAAATTCGCGGTTGTCAACAAATTATCTTGTTGAAAATCATAACTAAACTCAAAATTCTGACAATTAGAAAACTACAACGTACTGAAATGATATTTTATGGTACTTAATAGCATGACACAATTTTTTTTAAACATTTGATAAAGTTTTAATGAATTTTTGATAAAAAGAAAAATAACATGAATATTTCCTTTAATTTAATTTCACATTGCTCAAACTAAAATTGATTTTCTGAATTTCTTAATTTATGCTCTAATGAATAATTTTTGTTTTTAACAAAGTATTTAAATCAACGTGAATTATTTATTAAAACCAATATAATTATATTTCTAAAATATTACCTAAACACTCATGTAATGATCCTAATAATTATTGTTTAACGCAATGACGAATGGAGATAAAAGTAATGTTAAACAATAACTTGTTCTAAAAATTACTGAAATATATTTATTTCACAATTAAATTCGATGAAAGTTCTTCTGTAAACATGCAATGCCTCATTAGTTCGGAGAAATGAACAAGATTAAAATTCATATTGAAAAAATTATTAATGAATTATTCAAAAAGAAATTAATTCTTGGATCCACAGGATAGCAATACGCGTTATAAATATACACCAGTA